GAATGACAGAAATCCTATTGAATAGCTGGTTGAAGCATCGCCTCTGTTTGCCTACCGAGGTAAGGCTAAAGATAGCAGGCGCACCGCCACTAGTTTTCAGCACTTCATTGGAACATGCAACCTCCGTAAAATATTTGCCTTCACAGTCCTGAGGAGTTGTAGACAACATGACATTAGCGACACCTGACGGGACAGGGAGACACACGTGAGAACATCTCCATCTGGGATGTCTCCTGCTACTATGCAGCCTGCCTAAAATTCAAGCACCTATGATCCACGCAAAAGGCGATTCGCGGCCGACCGATGCAAAGTCGGTTTAAAACTGAACACGAATATGTTGTCCACTCACACATTTCTAACCTCAAAAACACTATCATGTTTGTAGACTAACGCTCAAGTTGGCCGAACTTAGAGAACTCTAGGTGTCACAACCGCGGGACCTCATTATAATTACGGTGACCTGGTTAAGACTTGAGATAGCAGATTCTGAAGTCAATTTGCCTGGTGTGTCGCTGCCTTGGAATGAGAAAGCTGGAAGAGCTGGTGGCGTAATTCTGCATTATAAGGCTAACCTCCGTTGTTTACTTATTGATCACCCAGAGATCCGTGCCCCAGATTCGCCCTGATGCTGGCCATGATTGCGTATGGCTGTGATTTACCGTCCACCAAACTCTATGTGTGGATCAACTCCGAACTAAACCACGTTCTTCAGGTTGCTTTGAGCAAGACATACAGTCACATTCTCATCGCAGGCGACTTTACTGTGCAGGACCTGGAAATAGCGACGACCGATAGCATGCAGGTCAAAGCTTGTTTACGAGAGACACTTTCCAGTTACCCTCTGCACAACCACGTCACAAGAGGGTCTCCCACGACAGTTTCTGCAAATACCGCGAACTCTCGTTAATCTCTGTCGCACCCAAAATCTTCGTGTCGGTCCTACTTCGCAGACTTACAACGACTAGTGAGGAATTTTCCCGAGGAGAATAAGCTGGATTTCGTCCACGCCGCGGCTGCATTGACCAAATCTTCACGCTTCGCCAACTTCTCGACCACAGTCGCATCCACCGGCGGCCAACAATCGTAGTGTTTTTGGACATCCGAGCAGCATTTGCTTTAGTAGATAGATCTGCGTTGGGGAACAGTTTACTGAAGAAAGGTGTGCCCGACAACTTCTTAACCATCCTGAAAGAACTTGACAATCACACGTCGGGCAAAGTCAGGACTTATGGCACGCTCTCCTCTTCGTTTGCTGTGACCAACGGTGTTCACCAAGGTTGTCCTATTTCACCTTCCCTCTTAAATTTCGCCATCGAAGATTTCCAAAGAGCAATGGAAGGTGTCCAGGACTGTGGTGTTGTGCTTGTCCCTGGAGACAGAGTCACGGACTTTGACTACGCCGATGATATCGCTTTGCTGGGGAACGACCTACAAACCGTCCAGAGCGTTTTTGACCGCTTAGCGATGGAGGCGTCTAAGTACGGCTTATGCTTCACTCCGGGAAAATGTAAAACGCTGCTCCAGGACTAGCAAGTGCTTGAACCCGCGCTCACCATTGCTGGACTTGTTCTGGAGCAAGTCCCATGCTTTACTTATCTAGGGAGTTGCATCACGTCTGGTGGCGGTGTTGGAGATGAAGCCTCACAACGGATTGCAAAGGTCCGCCTTGCATTCATCAAACTGAGACACCCATGGCGTCGTCGTGATGTTAGTCTCAAAGTCAGGGTGTACAGTGCTTCCATCCATGCAGTACTCTTGTACGGCTGTGAGACGGCCTATTCGCTCGGAAGACATGAAGCGGTTGTCAGTCTTTGACAATCGCTGTCTACGAAGGATTGCTCGGGTGTGGTGGCAACATCGCGTAAGCAACACAGAGGTCTGAGACCCAGTGCTTGGAGCGAATAGTACCAGTCTTCAGGAAGTTATTCTCCGACATCGCATGTGTTGGCTCGGGCACGTTTTGCGTATGACAGCCAATCGCCTTTCACGTCGAGCGCTATTTGCGTCAGCTAGATGTCATCTCCCTGTATGCAACGTTGGGCATTATTCTCATCGGCTTACATTTACACTGTCTCTTATATCCCTGGAAAAGCAAACGGCATTGCGGGTGTCTTGGGCCGGTTGCCTTTTAATCATCTGCCAGATTGTGTGTTGAAATCAACTGAAGTAGTCCATTTAATGCAGCACTTGACCAGCAAGCCGGTGTTGAACTCGGATATCCGCCGTGAGACAGCGTGATGTACTCCTCAGAAAAGTTACACGCTTGGTCTTCCAAGAATGGTCCGATAAATGTGGTGCGGAATTGTTGCCTTACTTCATCCGGCGCACAGAACCAACCCTCGTTGATGACTGCGTCTTATGGGCATCCAGAGCTATTATACCGCCTTGGTTACGGCACTATATGCTGGAGGGACTGCACGAAGCTCCCCCAGGTATCATCAGAATGAAAGGGCTCGCGCGGTCTTATGTGTGGTGGTCCGACATTGATAGCAACATAGAAAGATTAATCAGATACTGTGACTCGTGTCAAAGTACACACCAGTGCCACTGAATCCATGGAAATGGCCCGACAGGACATGGGAGCGCAGACATGCAGATTACTTTGGTCCGCTTGATGGAAAGATGTTTCTTCTCATAGTCGACGTTTATTCCAAATGGATTGAGGTATTTCCGCTGACATACGCCACTTCCGAGACAACTGTTCCGTGCATGCGAACATGCTTTAGCACATTCGGTATTCCGCAAGCACTAGTGACAGACAACGGTTCTGTATTCACTAGCCAACAGTTCCAAGAGCTCTTACAAAATAACGACATCAGACATTTGAAGACCGCTCCTCACCACCCAGCCTCAAATGGACTAGCGGAAAGACCAGTCCAGACAGTACAAAACGGGCTGTAGAAGAAATCACACGCTCCACTCAGAACGAAGTTGGATAACTTTCTATTCGCTTACCGCTCCACTCCAAGTGAAACGACAAGCAAGAATCCATGCGAACTAATGTTCGGCCGAAGGCTTAGGACGTGGCTAGACCTACTCTTTTCCGACCAGAGATTACGCGTCGAGATGCGGCAAGAGCAATCAAAAGAGAGGTACGATCGAAAAGCATCATGTCGAGAACTGCGTGAGGACGAGCCAGTTTACGTCAAACTGCCCCACGAACCGACTTGACAACCCGCAGAGTTACGCGAAATTGAAGGACCGAGAGCGGAGGTTGTACTACCGGACGGCAGGGTGGTTTCCTGTCACATGGATTATGTCTGACGTCGTTCTGTTACAACCGGGCCAGACGACATATTGCCAAGCCCGTCAACCGAGCCAGTGGTCACGGAGGCCACACAGACCACAAGTCAGCCAGAAGCTCAACCAATACGCCGTTCGACTAGAGTACGTCATCTAGTTGATTGTTACCAGACTGTCTGAGGAAGTGACAAATAAAGGGAGGAGGAATGTGGCGTATGAGTCGCCATCTCCAAACAGCTTCCTTCGACCGCGTGCACCCGTCTTTTTACCGGTTGCTCACTCACGTTGGGTTGGCTTCACTTACTTGATCGATGCTCTGTACCCGTTGTTGCCAGAATACACATTTGCACGCAGCCAGCTAGACGCGTTATGTTGTCTGTGCATCCTTCGAATAAGTGTCATTATTGTGTTGCAGGTTAGCGTTACTTCCGCACCTGTAGACTTTAACAGTGTCATCGTTATCAGTGCTCCAAACACGTGATGTCTTCTGCTGTGTACCCGCGCTTCAAATTTAGATCAACTATTATCACTGATCAAGATGCTATTATGGTCCCAGTTCTCGAGTGGACTGCATCTATTGGATTTCTGTCTATCTGTTAACTCCACACTAACAACTATAGCGGCGTGTACCAGTCTGGAGATTCCCCGGTTCCCCTGTGTAAAACTTAACTAAAATTATTTCATTGTTCACCTAGACGACTGGTGTGGTTTGTTGAACTGATCGCTGAGTTCGAATGCTTGACTTGCTCATCGCCACTTTTGCTTGGCGCTCGTTTCGGTTGCAACACGCGCGACTGCTCTGTGTGCTGTACATCCTCCGTTCCCCTAGCTAGAGCGTCAACGGTGTCGTTTTTTATAGCTAGGTAACAGGGAATCTTTTACTGCACCAATAAAATTTTCCCTGCAACCCGATCTGCCTTTTTGAATCGTTCTCCGGGCTCCCGCTACAGGCTACTCTAAAGACGTCGCTATCAGGCACTGAAGTGCGCTTTCCACGCAGGATAATGGAACACATGCTTTCCTCCTCGTTTTCTTGCAATGTCTATACCTAAAACTCGCAACGACCGTGATCATTTTGTCTTTTCCGGAATTTTTAATAGTTTGGCAACTTCACTGTTCTGTTTGGCGCTCGCCAGAATGGTAATAATGCTGACCTTACACAGTTGCTCTCCTCGCCGTACCTCACCTTATAACTGTTGTGTTCGAAAGGATAATAATTTGACCGCAGCACACCATCGGATAGGTTCTCGTTTTGTTAACTACATCGTTTAGTTGCAGTTCGCATCTGTACTAATTCTAGCGCGATCCACCTGCAGCTATGCTGTATAATGATAATGAATGATTACGTTTCATGCATACAAACTAGTTGTGTCGTTAAATGTGTTCTTATTGATTGGATTCTTTTGAACTCGCGTACAGGAGCCGGTGTTATGAAATACTTGGGCTAAGTGTACTCTAACTTTTACAAATATGCAGGGAAATGTATTTGATTGGCTGCATTTTCACTATTACGATGGACGACTTTTGGTTTGAACTGCATGGATGGGATTAAGGCACACATGAATGAAAATCACACATGTAAGCCCTTTAAACTGCGTCATTCATTTTGTTGGTTGATATGATTAGTTTGAGCAGCGCACTTTCACCCTGCAACTATTCACAGGCAATGCCCACGATAAGTTTTACTCACTTTATGCTGCTTCCGTTTACCTTTGTGCCTTTCGAACCTCGTCCACTCGTGTTCATTCTTACTTCAGGCCTGGACAAGATGTTCTCGAGATTGGATATGGAATCGGCCTTGGTATACAGCTCGCAGCAAAGCGGGTGGCACCCTTGACTGTGGAATACCATAGCAGACACAACACATGGAAGCGGTTTTGGGATCGCAAGCGGGGGGAACCGGTTTCCTTTCCCGAAGATGGGCACGTGGATGGCATTGATATTTCTGATTACATGTTGAAGAAGGCTTCACGGTTGGTGTGCACTTGATAATCTGGGTCGTTCAGCCGTTTTTATAAGTACTTGTCAAACACATTTATTTCTGTGCTTTACATTGTCGTGTTTTTCCCTTTCAACACTTTAGAATCCTACATTCTTCACACAGCCGATTTATTTGGCGCTCTGATCCTGTTTGCTCCTTAGACTTTTAACTAATGCGGACTTTTGTCTCAACCTCTTCGCTGAGACCCATTCTGTTTACCATCGTAGCGCACTCATCCATGAGTTTAGTCATCATCACGCACCTCGTTTGTCGATATGTTGCAATCAAACCAGTTACTTGTCTTAACCGTCACGAATACCATGCATTTAGCCTAACGAACTTCACCTCGATTCCGTAGTTAAACCAAGTATCAAAGATGCTTAGATTCTCTTGGATCGCAGCAGATGGACTGAGAGCATTGTTATCTGCACGCGCAGCTGTTTTCATAAATTGCTGAGCACATCAACCTAATGCACAACTAGGGATCAGAAGGTTAATGTCAAACTAAGTTAGGACGCTTACACACCCAGTGCCATGGAAATCGATTTCTATGCACACGCCAACCTCCTTTGTTTGACTTCACCTACATTTCCATGCGGGATCTAGTCAAAACGAACGCAGAAGATGCACTAAGACTTTTTCTGCATAGTCCACCGACCTATTGGTGAACTGACCGAACACAGTGCAAACCGGTTTTCTCCGGTCAGTTCAACGAGATTATCAAAGATCGTCTGACTTACTGGATGTGCACATTGCATACATCCATCGCCTGTATACCAAGATCTAGTACACAACACCATCTTGCAAGTTCGAACTTGGGCTGTTTACTGTTTCATGACATAGAGGCCTGAAATCAGCAGTGTTTCCCAACTCAAAATCCTTCAACTAAGGCTGGAAAAAATACAGTTGTCACTGAATTTACTTTACTTCAATCTTCGAGCATGGAAATACATCCTTGTGCACATTAATTGAAACAAACTACGATTGTGTCTCTTTTCCTATGAATATCATGTTTTTATACATGAAAGCTGCCGTTTTGCATTTATTTTTTATTTTATTTTGGGAATAGATATTTCATCATTGTTTATGAATCAGACGATGTAATAACTGCACATGTCTAGTGGTTACATCACCAAAGATTGCGTCATACTTTTTATGATTAGTAAGGTTTTTGTTTCAACTTCTTGTTTTTTGTGAATCAGTCATTGTTTGAGATGGACGTGACTCCCAGAAGGCGCATGAAGATCGTGACCTTGCACGAACACACAGACAAGACCTACAGGGACATAGCAAGAATAGTAGGCGTCAGTCCGGCAACCGTCAGCCGTGTGGTCAAAAAGAAAAAGGAAACGGGATGCATTTCGCCAAAACGCTAAGGGAAATGTGGTCCTAAGAGGAAAACCACTGCGAGGGATGACGCTTACCGAATACGGGAAAGTGTTAAAGATCCTCGAAAGACTAGCAACGCGTTAAAAAGTGATTTGGGGGAGAAAGGAATAGAAATCAGTTCTTCAACTAGATCTGGCCCCGTGTCACACATCAAAAATGGTCAAGACTTTTTTCAATACTAATCAAATAACCATCTTGGACTGGCCTGGGAATTCACCAGATTTAAACCCCATTGAAAATATGTGGTCTATTTGCAAGCAACGCCTTCTTGGCATGGACTGTACGACAAAGGAGAAACTTATTCAAGCTTTAATTCAAGTTTGGTACAGGGACCCAAGATGTTGAAATACGCCAGATCCGTCAGGAAATGTCTTTTAGTTCTGGAACAGCTCTTCTTTGGAGAACTTCTATAGATTGTGGAGAGCGCATCATGCCCTGGACTGGATGCAAGGCGCCGACGCCGTAATAACTAAAGCACCCCCAAAACATCTGCTTTTGTGGGTAGTCAATGTGGGAATCACGAACCTTTTCTCCCTCTGACCTCCGAACATACTGACTTCTCTGACCATGAACATAGAAGTGGTTTTCATCGCTGAATAGGACTTTTATCCAATCTTCTTTTGTCCAGTTTTTGTATTTTAGTCCCCATTTGTAACGCTTAACTTTCATTACTTTTGTCAGAAGTTGTTTTTTCACAGGCCGTCTGGCTTTCCGACCAACTTCCAGGAGTCGCCTGCGAACCGTTGAAGAACTGATTTCTATTCCTTTCTCCCCCAAATCACTTTTTAACGCGTCGCTAGTCTTTCGAGGATCTTTAACACTTTCCCGTATTCGGTAAGCGTCATCCCTCGCAGTGGTTTTCCTCTTAGGACCACATTTCCCTTAGCGTTTTGGCGAAATGCATCCCGTTTCCTTTTTCTTTTTGACCACACGGCTGACGGTTGCCGGATTGACGCCTACTATTCTTGCTATATCCCTGTAGATCTTGTCTGTGTGTTCGTGCAAGGTCACGATCTTCATGCGCCTTCTGGGAGTCACGTCCATCTCAAACAATGACTGATTCACAAAAAACAAGAAGTTGAAGCAAAACCTTACTAACCATAAAAAGTATGACGCAATCTTTGGTGATGTAACCACTAGACATGCGCGGTTATTACATCGTCTGATTCACAAACAATGATGAAATATCTGTTCCCATAATAAAATAAAAAATAAATGCAAAACGGCAGCTTTCATGTATAAAAACATGATATTCATAGGAAAAGAGACACAATCGTAGTTTGTTTCAATTAATGTGCACAAGGGTGTATTTTGCCGTTTCACCTCACATTCTACATGATCTGTGCCTTTGCATCTTTCATCATCTTATTTCAAGTACAATACAGTAGTAGTACAGTAGTGCATACCTATTTTCGCTTCATCTGATTTATTTGGTGTCGGAGCATTACTCAGTTTGTACAATGTGAGTCCTGTTGACTAACTGTTCTCTGCGCGTTGAAAGCGCGAATGGTAGCTGATTGTGCCGCTGTACAAAGGACAAATTAGAAGTAGCATACTAAACATTACAGAATATAAAATCTAAAATGCAAGTAATGTAGAGCCGTCATATTACCTGAGCAGTGTGAGATCGTTGTTGGAGGGGGAAGACAACCGGTAAGCGAAGGGACCAAGGAACCCACTACTCATCATCATTCATCATACGCGTTAGCTGCAGAAGAAAAACATCTCAGCAATACAGCAGAAAAGAAAAAGACTCGAAACAGAGACACACCGGCTGAGTCACCAATAACGGATGGACATAGTTCCGGAGTGCTAACAGCCGGTTGTTGTGCCTATTAATTGAAATCGTGGTTGGAGTGGAAGGCTAAACGGATGGTGATGGACCAAGGAACTCACAACACAAACGCCACTCAGGTCGGCTCATAGCCAAGTCAACAAGTGTGTCCAACCAAACTTGTTTGTCGTCCTTCGGTCCCCAACCAGGGTGCCGAGAGGCTCCAACCGAGGCCAACTTCGAAGTAAGGGCCTTCATTCCTCTAGACCGAGTCATCGCTTGGCAACTTCTGCTTTTCTTCCATCCACAACTACGGCACGCAAACGACGCACGTCGCGGGAGTCAGTGGGCTGGCATGCGCAACACGTGGCCCAGCCATCGGAGCCTGGTGCGTGAAATAACGGTGCTGAGCGGTTCGCTTCTTCTTCCTGTGCCATAAACAAGGCGTCGAACACGCTCATTGCTCACACGGTGTTCCCACCAGATATGAGCCAAACTGCGAAGGCACCGGTGGTCGAACGTAACTAGCCTCTTCAGGTCCGCTGCTTTAAGCGGCCAGGTTTCGCAACCGTACAGTAGGGTCGAACGTACCGCTGCATTGTACACTCATCCCTTCAGGGCGAGAGTGATGTCGCGCCGGTGCCAAAGGTGGCGAAGGTCGGCAAAAGCGCCTCGAGCTTTTGTTATCCGGTTCGTGATCTCATCTTCAATCCCACAGAGGCTGATACCTCTTCTCAGGTGGTTAAAATTTTGATCGACTTCTAGCTGTTCCCCACAATAGTCAGCATAGGAGGCGGCCCCTGCCAATCTTGTAGGAATGCTTTGCACTTCGAGGGTGCAAACCATAGCCCGAAACGGATGGCAGCTAATACTAATCTGTCCAGTGCTGCTTGCCACGTTTGGGAGCTGTCATAGCTGAGTGCAATATCGCCAGCATACTCCAAGTCAAGTAGTCGTTCACCTGGGAGCAGCTCCACACGTAAGTCTTGTTGTGAACGCGGTTTTCATTACTTCGTCAATGGTGAAGTTGATGAGGAAAGGTGACAGCGGGCATCTTTGCCTTACACCGCTGGAGATATTGAAGGGCAGCGACAGCTTGCCGTAAGCCCTCACTCTTCCCGAGTTACGCGCCTAAAGCGCCTTACATAATATCTACATACTTCTTGGATATACTTTTCCGTAGCAGTTACTCCCGAACGGCACGTCGATCCACTGAATCGAAAGAACCTTTGGTATCATGAGACAAGACAACAGTGGACCGCCAATATATGTGACGCTGCTCCAACAACTGACGTAATATGAGTATGTGATCGATGCAGCCGCGACCACAACGAAGCCCTGTTTGCTGCTCACGAATGTGCCTTCACGATCGCGGGTCAGTCTGTGAAGGATGACAGAGATAAGCAATTTGAAGGCGGTGGGGATTAGACTGATTCCTCTATGGTTGCCTCCCTTTAAGATCTGGACAATAACAGAGCGCCTCCAGTCGGTTGGGACAAACTTGCTCCCAGTTTCACTAGTAACTCGTGTAAATCATCAACAAGAGCAGGGCCGCCGAATTTGAAGAAGATTGGATGAAGATCATCTGGTCACGCGGCTTTATTCAACTTCAACAGTGCGATCCCACGTTCGACTTCTGAACGTGAGGGCGAATCCAAAGGGACAGCCCGTGGAGCAGGGCGATCACTGGCCGACTCTTCGCCATGTCAAATGGTGTATCCAACTGCACGGGTTCACCGTCCTTGGGACTCCAGCCTTGTAATCGGGACACACCAAACCGGCGCCAACTTCAAAGTGATGGACTTCATTCCTCTTGGCCAAGTCATCGC